TTTATTTACTCAGAAAATGCAACTTAGTTGCAAAACCTCCAAAATTTGTTTGAGGCAACAAAATCCAAAGAAGAAAAGCTGTAATGAAGGAGGAGCTGAGGTTGTTTGAGAATAATGGTACATGGATGTGAAAAAAAAATGGTGAAAACCAAGCATAAGATGGACAACAAAAGGCTGATCCTAGGTGCTTAGGCATAAATCAATTTCTGTTTTTGATTTTTGTAGCTTTAACACCAAGGAGGAGTGTTGGAGTTGTGGTGTTCAAGCTGTCAAAATAGTAGCAAATGAAAATGAAAGCTGCACAAAAAGGTAGCAAATGAAGAAGGGAGAGCTGCACCAACAGCATGGTAGCAGCAAAGTGCAGCAAGCTAAGCTGCAAATGTTGAGGAAATGAGGCTGAAATGAAATGTAAACGAAATGCAAATGCAAATGCAAATGAAATGAAAGGTTGCAAAAAGGCTGTAGAGCTACGAAAGGACGCAAGCTGCAGCAAAAGTGGCTGTTACATATTCAAATTTCAAATGTAATTTTATTGTTTTTTAATGTAGAATAGTTGTTTGAATTTTGAATTGTTTCAAAGATTGTATTCTCCTATATAGAGGAGAGTTGGTTAATGAGAAAAGTTGAGTTGGAGTGACATACTCCTCTCCATTTTCTATGTTCTGCTCTTCATCTTCTTCTCTCGAAATTCTCTCCATTTTTCTTTGATAAAAAATATGAACATGGTATCACAGCCTTTCTTGATCTTTGAGGGCCTATGTGAGAGAGATTTGAGAGAAATATACTACCATAAACTCCAGCCAAACCCAAATAGTTTCCAGCAAAAGCAAAAGATGCTGGTTTAATGATGTTTTATGTTGCTGATATGGGTGGTGTTTTATGCTACAGCATTAGTCCAAAAAGGCAAGGATGGCTTGTGAAGATGCAGATTGGGATCAAGAGAGTACTCAACATTGCATCAAGTCATTTTTCATAACTGAGTAGCCAAAATCCGTAGCCCAAGGAAGCTATAGAAGATGAAAAAAGATGATGAAGTAGCACTTTGAGGTACCAATTCCTTATTTTATTTACTCAGAAAATGCAACTTAGTTGCAAAACCTCCAAAATTTGTTTGAGGCAACAAGATCGAAAGAAGAAAAGCTGTAATGAAGGAGGAGTTGAGGTTGTTTGAGAATAATGGTACATGGATGTGAAAAAAAAAATGGTGAAAACCAAGCACAAGATGGACAACAAAGGGCTGATCCTAGGTGCTTAGGCATAAATCAATTTTTGTTTTTGATTTTTGTAGCTTTAACACCAAGGAGGAGTGTTGGAGTTGTAGTGTTTAAGCTGCCAAAGTAATAGCAAATGAAAATGAAAGCTACACAAAATGGTAGCAAAATGAAGAAGGGAGAGCTGCACCAACAGCATGGTAGCAGCAAAGTGCAGCAAGCTAAGCTGCAAATGTTAAGGAAATGAGGCTGAAACGAAATGTAAACGAAATGCAAATGCAAATGAAATGAAAGGTTGCAAAGAGGCTGTAGAGCTACGAAAGGACGCAAGTTGCAGCAAAAGTGGCTGTTACATATTCAAATTTCAAATGTAATTTTATTGTTTTTTAATGTAGAATAGTTGTTTGAATTTTGAATTGTTTCAAAGATTGTATTCTCCTATATATAAGAGAGTTGGTTAATGAGAAATTTTGAGTTGGAGTGATATACTCCTCTCCATTTTATGTGTTCTGCTCTTCATCTTTGTTGGAGCTGTGGTGTCAAAGCTGCACAAGAGGCAGCAAATGGAAAGAAAGTTGCACAGGTGGTAGCAAAAGGAAAAGAAGGGAGAGCTGCACCAAAGCATGGTAGCAGCAAAGTGCAGTAAGATACGCTGCAAGATTTGATGAAATGAGGCTGAAATGAAAGGCAAATGGAAGGCTGCAAAGTAGCAGCAAGAACAGCCACATGGAGCCTCACAAATGGAAGCAAGACTTTTCATGTAGTCTTGCATTAAATGTTTGATAGATTTGCTTGTATTAGATAAGGATTAGGTGAGGAAATTACCTTTATGTGTTGAGTTATTTGCTATATAATAGCAGAATATGAATGAAAAAAAAAAAAAAAAAGACAGGTTCTCACCTCTTGAAATGAGAGAACTCCGGTGCTTCTCCCTTTCTCCTCCAAGTCCCTTCTTTCACCAAAAAATCAAATATGGTATTAGAGCTTAAATGATCTTGAGGGACCTCTGAGAGTGAGTTTGAGTGAACACCAGGAAAAAAAAAAAAGAAAGCCCGACCTTTGTTTTTTAGATTGTTTTTGATGTGAAACCCCTCTTGCTTGGCCAAAATCTTACAGCAAAAAAGGCTGTG